CTTCGCCAGGCTAATTTTTTTTGATTCCGGATCTCGCAGCGCGAATGCACAAGTGCTTGGGCTGCCGGGGCGGCACACGCTAAGCGGCCCTGGCATCGCAGAGCAAAATTGCACACGAAGATGAATAGAAAATCAACGCCTCTTCCGTCCAATCTTGCTGGAGTGAATCGCGCTGGCCTCTCACACTGCAAAGCCACATTGAAGCATCACGCAGGAAAAAAACGCAGAGCATGTGTCATGTGCCGGCATGGTTTCGGAAAAGAAAAACCGAGACAACAATAATCAACCAAATAGCCATCGCACACCATTCGAACGACATCCTCAGGAAGCGTCGTCGTGTTGACCCGGAATAACTCAGAGAAGCTGATATTGTAGTCATCTGGCCCGGAGAGAAAGGGCACACGCACTTCTGGTATCCTCATGCTAAAACTGAGCTCGTCGTCCAAATCATCTGCCAGACCGATATAATCGAGCTGGAACTTAGCACCGCTCGAATCCACCATAAACTGCGTCTGCGGCAGAAAATGCAGATCGCTGGATAGCGGAGATAACATTTTCGTGAGCCTTTCCACCAGCACCGTCTGATTGGCAAATGCCAACCTGTCTTGTAGGGCCAAATTTCTTCCGCGGTTCTGCCTCGTCATAACTTCATGGAAAGAAGACGCTACGCGTTCCAATGGATCTCTGACCAAAGCAGCCTTGAATCCATCATAGTTGACAAAATAATCAACAACTTCCTGTCTGGTGAGCTTCCCAGGTGGATAGAGCGTCTTCAAGGTACCACCGTGATCTATAGCGACCTTGACCAATGACGGCGGAGACGTGTAAAATGACGGCAGTGCTGAGGGCGGACTTATGGAAGCCTGGGGCGCACGATCTAAATTTCTTAAGATGGGTTCTGTCGCTCCACGAGGTATCGAAGTAGTGGAGGGATGGGACGGTTGAAATGGTGGACGTACACGGTAAGCGCAGGAATCCACGTCCAGTTGTTCCCAATCGTATTGCAAAGATCGTCAACGCTGCTGCAACGCACGGAAGCAACACGAGTACGCAAGGCGTTGCCGTGTTAACCATGCATGCACCGATACCTCTGCCACAGTGCCCGACAGCAACCGGAACAACGAACGTGTTTGGCCAGAACTGCAAACTGAGCCAGTACGGCTTGAGCCCAAATGGCTACGGATACGTAGGTGGTCCAACAATGATATACCTTCTCGTCCAAAGCCCTCTTCCCTTCGGGGAAGGGTTGCCTCCCCCTCCACTCCCCGAGGTGTTTGGGGGGCGCCCGCGATGCGTCAGAGGATCCTCTCTCGCCCACGATGGCTCCAAGAGGGCCTCCGATGCTCCAAGACGGTTTCCAAGATGGCTCAAGGTGACTTCCACCATGCTCCAGGAGGCCCCAAAGACCGCTCCAAGACGGCCCCGAGTGCTCTCGGAGGCCCCTCAAGAACTCCCCGAAAACCAACATCGCGCAACAGCGCCTTTTCGCTTCCGATGAGCTCTAGGGACCTTAAGATGGCCCCGAGATGGCCCAAGAGAGCACCAAGAGGGGCCCAAGCGCCAAGAAGCGGTTTCGAAGGCTCTTGAGGGGGAGTTAGATTAAAGACCCCCCCATCCTTTCATCGATGGCCTTCAAGATGTCCCCAAGAGGCCCTCCTCCAGGGCTTCCAAGACGTCCCCAAGACGTTCCCAAGACCCCCCAACAGAGCCCCAAGATCCCCCTAAGAGGGCCCCAAGAGGGCCCCGAGACAGCCCCAAGAGGACGACACACAAAAAGGCCTCAAGAAGGCCCCGAGATGACTGCCAGAATCCTCGTCCTAATCCTCGTCGTCCTCGTCCTCATTTGCTTCCCCTTCCTCCTCCTTTTCCTCCAAATTATTATCTTTTTCCTCATCGTTTTCGTTACCTTCGTTATGCACCTTCTCTTCCTCCTCCTCCTCCTCCTCCTCATTGTCCTCCTCGCCCTCCTTCTCGTCGTCGTCGTCCGGCTCCTCCTCTTCCTCCTCCTTCTTCTCGTTTCCGTGCTCGTCCTCCTGGTCTTTCTGGTCCTCGTCCTCGTCCTCGCACCTTCTCTGGGCGCATGTTCCTCTGCACGCTGTTCCACCTTCCTGAAGAAGGCAACTCGCCTGGGCATCGCTTCAGGATCTCCCCCGCCCGTTGGAGGACGGAGGGCCCTCTCCCAAAGGAATGCGACTCGCCCGCCGCGGTCCTCACACTGGTCACGGAAATCCCTGGCTCCCCCTCGAGGGAGGTCGCGTTCTGGACATGGCTCCTTCTCGCAGGGCGGCGGACACTCTCGGCGGCGGGGACGGGGCGCAGGGGGGGGGAGGGAGGGCACAAACGGGAGACGAGGGGCGGTGGGGGAATGGGGTGCAGCACGAGAGCGATCAGATTGCCGAACTGCCGAGACCAGGTCGTGCACATCTCGCCATCCCTTTGCCCCCCCCCCCCTTCTTCCTCGCCCACTCCATCCCTGGTCGGCGGCGGCAGCTCTGGCTCCCCGGCCCCCCACGAGTCACGCCAGGCGTGGCGGCTCAGGCGGACGCGCGCAACTGTGGATGAAGAGGAAGACGGGGAGAAGGGAGACGAGAGAAGAGAAAAAACAACTTGAGGCCACGATAATGATCCCCCCCTCCTCCTCCTCCTCCTCCTCCTCCTCCTCCTCCTCCTCCTCCTCCTCCTCCTCCTCCTCCTCCTCCTCGTCTCTTCTCCTCCTCCTCCTCCTCCGCTCCTGCTCCTCGTCCTCCTCTTCCTGCTCCTCTTCTGCGGCAATCCTGCCATGTCTCCAAAATGTCCTTCCTCATCATCGTCGTCCTCCTCTCCTACCCAACCTCCTCCTCCTCCTCCTCCTCCTCCTCCTCCTCCTCCTCCTCCGTCTCCTCCTCCTCCTCCTCCTCCTCCTCCTCCTCCTAATGTCGCTCTCGCCTTAGCGCCGCGCACATTCGTTATAACAACTTGCAAGAGTTTCACGGATCATCATCATCATCATCATCATCATCATCATCATCATCATCATCATCATCATCATCATCAGCAGCATCATCATCATCATCACCATCACCATCATCATCATCATCAGCATCATCATCATCATCATAATCATCTTCTTCGTCATCATCATCATCATCATCAGTGTCATCATCACCACACTGATAAGCAATCACCATCATCATGATCACCATCATCAGCATCATCATCATCAGCATCATCATCAACATCATCAGCATCATCAGCATAACCATCATCATCATCAGCAGCAGCATCAGCATCAGCGTCAACATCAGCATCAACATCATCATTAAATGACCATCAGCAACATCATCATTATATTGCCATCATCAGCAGCATCATAATCAGCAGCATCATTCAATCACCATCATCATCATAAGCATCACCATCTTTTAATCATAATCAACATCATTCACTCGCCTCACCCATCATCATCATCATCGTCATCATCATCACCACCATCATCATCATCATCATCATCATCATCATCATCATCATCATCAAACATCATCGTCACCATCATCATAATCAGGACCATCATCATCAGCACCAGCACCAGCATCAGCATCAGCATCAACAGCATCAGCATCATCATCATCATCATCACAACCATCATCATCATCAGCATCAGCGTCAGCATCATCATCATAGAATCACAATCAGCAGCATCATCATCATTCACTTACCATCATCATCAATAGCATCATCATCAGCAGCATCATCATTCAATCACAGTCGGCATCAGCACCATCATCGTTCAATCAACATCATCATATACAATCACCACCACCTCCATCAACATCATCATCATCGTCATCATCACCACCAGCATCATCAATCATCACCATCACCATCCTCAGCATCATCAGCGTCATCATCATCAGCATCAGCATATTCGTTATCATCATCATCATCATCATCATCATCATCATCATCATCAAGAACCATCACCATCAGCATCACCATCAGCATTCCCAGGCCGTCGCGCGGGCCCTGCGAGACATTAGCAATCACAGGCCACCGCTGCCGCTGCCGCCGCAGTCGTGGTCGTCGGCGGCGGCGGCGTCGTCGGCGTCGGCTGCGGCGGCGTCGGCATCGTCGTCACGCTACCAGGCGCCACCCACCAGGGGGAGCGCCGATGGAGGAACGAAGGGGCTCCTCTCGCCACGCCACGCCTGGCCCCGCGGCAAGGACCCAAAGCACGAGCGCCTCCTGAGCCCGGTGTGGTCGATATCATCAGCGTGCTGACTGTACAGTGGGCCCGTATCAGAAGGATGCACTGGAAGGATGCAAGGGCCTTGGAGGGCCACGTTAGCGTTTTCCGAACGAGGCTGGCCAGCGAGAGTCGCTGAGGATGGGCCGTAGGGGCAAGGATGCAAGGTTAGCTTTGGGAAGGTTGCCCATCCTTGCCACGCGGGTTGAATGAAGCCTCCAACTGGGAGCACGCCGAGGAGGAGACAAAAAAGGATGAAGTGAGAAGGGGCGGGCCTTTTTCAGAAGGCTCGGAGGTTTCCCGGCCTTCTGAGAAGCTTGTTTAGCCTTCCCAGAGAATGCAGACAGCCGACGAGAAGTTTTCCAGGTCCTCCCCGAAGACACAAACAACTTCTGAAAAATCGCGAGGGCTTCTGAGAAGCGCCGACGCCTGCTGAGGAGGCCGTTTCCTTCTCACTTTCCCCCCTCGCTCGCCACCGAACGGGGAAGCGGGAGGAGCCACCAGGGTCGCGGGAGAGCGGGCGACGCCGCGCGGACGAGCTGCCCGCCAAGACGCCCCGATCCTCTCCCCGCAGCGGCACGTCCCCCCCGCTCGCTGCCATGGACCCACGTGCCACTGCAATTCCTGCGGCCCTGCCCACGACGTTGCCGATCCTGGAAGCAGTCGCATTCGGCGCCATCTCATCGTCCAGGTTGTCCGCCACGTCCAACCACAAGACACCACGCAGATCCGTCCTAGAATAATGCGCGATGTGCAATCACTGCCGCTGGTGAGCCGCTAGACATACACGCGCGCGTGGCTTCTCGACGTGGCCAGGTTGAAAACAATGATGAATGAGATCGGCTGGGGCATGGCGTGAACAACAATGACAAGCAATAGCCGCTCTCGCTAACGGTGCATATGAGGACCTTCGTATACGGCACCCACCCGTATCCGATATTAAATAATGCCCGCCAACGCCGTCCCCGAACACGGAGTTCTTGCAATCTGGGTGGCGCAATATACGCTTCGCAATGTATATTGTGCAACCGATGTGGTGCATTCGACGCGGTGCAATGTACCAGGCGCAAGTAAGTAAGAGAAACTTGGAGTGATTGAATCCACTGCCACGCGCACCCATCCCACCCACCCACCCGCAACTTGGTTTGCAAAACCCATGCTGCGACGATTGAAATGAGTGTTTGGTGTTGGCTTGTGCATGTATGCGGCCGCGCTAGCCCGCGCATGGTCGCGCGCACAGCAGCCAGCTCCATTGGCGCGACCGACGCGGCCGCGATGGCGCTGACCGCTGGGCAACTCCCAGCGCGTCTCGACTGCCGCGCTGACGCGCGGGCACTTCAGTGCGACTCGGTGACGTGGGCGGGCGCGGTATCATGGCGATGTCAACAACAGCAGACATGATGGTGGTGGTGATGATGCTGATGATAATAATGGCGATGATGGCGATTATGGCGATGACGACGGTGGTGTCCTTGCGTCGGCGGTGAAGAGTATCGGAAGGATTTCGACATGCGCGCGCGGCCGATACGCACGAGTTGCCCGCTCTGTATGATTTGATAGTGATCGTGCCCCCCCCAGCGCGCGCGCACCAGGGCGCTCGGATGATGCTGGCACGCGCCCGCGACAGGCCCGTTTGGTAGAGTTTGATGAAATATGTACAAAACCAGTGGTTTCTTGAGGACTCGCAAGGGCACGCGCGCGCGCAAAACGCTTTTGGACAACTGATGTTGCAAAACCATGCTCTTTATTTTTTGGGGGGGGGACGCTCAATCTCGAAATCCCTACGAAACCGAAGGTTGTTGAGCAACTCCGGCGCCGCGCGTGCGGCCGCTCTGGGCGAGCCTGCGCGGGACGAGACAATGTGCGCGGCAGGTTGGGAGCCGCCGTGCGCCCGGCGGCTCTGGACGATTCTGTACGGGACGGCGCGGCGCGCGGGGGACTGGGAGCCGCCATGCGCGGCGGCTGTGAGCCATTCTGGCGCGGCGGTCCGACGTCCACCGCGCACTGTCTTTTCCCACGCGGGCTGGCGACGCACAGCATGAACAAGCGGAATGGCAACCGCACCTCGCCAGCGGCGGCAGACGACACAGAACACCGTTGCGCGGGGCAGGGGGGCGCCGGAACGCGCCGCGATTCGCGCGCGGCCGAGGCTGCGGTGACCGGGCCGCTCGCCGCGACTGCGGCTGCTGCCGCCAACTTGACAGCGCGCGGCCTCTCAACATGCGCTCGGCTTTGTGCCCGCGGCGCGACCCTGCCGCCATGGCCAGTTCCTGCGCACCCCTGGCGGGCCTACACTTTTCTTGCTGGGCCTGTCTTCCACCACCACCACTATAAGCTGGATGGGGGGAAGGAGGAGGGCGAAAACAGGCCCATCTTTTTCGTCGTGGCCCGTGTCGTCGCGCCCGCGATCCGACGCCATTCAAGGCCGCCCCGCCCTGCTGAAAGGGGAAGTATACGCGGCCAGCCGCGGACACATTGTATCCCGCGACTGGGCGACGGCGGCCAGCCTGGCCCCAGCGGGAGCGGAACTCGTGGGGCGCGGGCGAACGCGACGTCCGCGCGCGCGGGCGTCGTTTCCGAGGGCACGGTGGGGTAGGGGGAGGGGGGAAGGCTTCTTAGAAGGAAGCCGCTTCTCAGAAGGCGCCGGCCTTACATCTATACATGAGGCCCACGCCATCTACGAAGCAGGGGTGCTTCTAAGAAGCCTTCCCCCCTCATCCTATCCCCCTCTGCGCGTGGCCGACTTTTACCTGGTTTGGAGCCAGCTCCGACAGGGCGCCGAACGATGCTGGCAAGATTGGTGTCCACCGCTAGAAAAGCGGGCGTGGCCCTGGCGCAAGCGCCGCGCGGAGAGGGGGGCCTGGAATCGAAGCGAACCTGGCCAGCCCAAAGGTGGGCTGCATCAGATCGGCTGGTCATGCTGACAAAGAAAACGCGCCTTGGGTTTGTCCTGGCTGTCTTCTGTCACTGAAGAATACCTCTGGCCGTTCCAGAGACGCTTCGGAGACGCGTTCTCGCCAACGCCCCCATTGAATTTGACCCCGCATGTTGCTCTCGTTCCCACCGCGCACGGATGCGAATGAGCCACTCAACGTCGGCCGCGCCGAAACTGTCTCGCACTCAGCCCAACACACTGCCACCACTGAAGGAGCCCAGGGACACACAAACATAGATACACACACACACAAAAATCGCAGGATTCCCCGTGTTTTCCCCATTAGTTTCGGGGCTTCTGTCTTCCCCCCCCACTTCCCATACTTTCCCGTACTCTCCTGGGAGGCGACGATTCACTGTGCCTGTGTGTCTCTTTCCCTCCTGACCTTCTTCCGCCCCACTTGTTTTCCTGCACGCACGGACGGACGCGAACGGGCTCTCCTCCTCCGTGCCTCTGAGGCACGCCGGGGCGTGGAAGGGTGCCAGGGGCCGGCTGGCAGGGCTCAAAGGGTCTTCTTGAGGGGCCCCCCACCCTGGCCGTCGCTCGGACGTCCATTCCCTGTGTTTTTTTCTCGGTTTCCTGCGTGGCCTGCTCGCCAAATGATCCAGGATGCTTCCTCGATGGTCCTCGCCGAAGGAAACATGCACACGTCCGAGCGATGCCAAGCACTCCGAGGCAGCATCCAACCACCTGCCCCCCCCCCACTCCCAGAGGGTCCCTGGGCGGCCATGGCGCCTCCCTGGGGCTCTCCAAGGCTTCCATGACGGCCGAGGGAAGCCCACCCAGGCCGCCAAGATGCCTCCAAGACAGTTCAAGATCGCTCCACGACACCCAAGATGGCCCCAAAACTACCCGAGAGGCATCAAGGAATTCCCATGAGCGTTCCAAGCGGACCTCCCAGAGAGCCCACAGCAGCAAGCTTTATAGATGCTCATGTTGTTGCTGCATGTTTTATGTTCTCGCATTTTGGAGCGTCCGACGCTCCAAGACGGCCCCAAGGATCCCCCCACCCCCCCACTCCATGACGGCACAAGAGGCCCCCAAAAAGATCCTAAGACGGTCCAGGGGCCCCAACACGGCTCCCGAGGCACCCAAGGCAGCCGCAGAGAGCCCCAAGGCAGCTCCAGGAGGGGCCCGAGAGGGGGAACACGGACCGACACGTCGGGCCTTCCGCCCAGTGAGGGGTCCAGGAAGCCCCAAGAGGCCTCCAAGAAGCGGCTATAGGCTCACAGGACGCCCCCAGGAGACCCAGAGGAGGCCCCAAAGAGGCCCCCAGGCGGCCCCCCAAAGGCCTCAGAGTGCAACGGGCCCCCGAGAGGCCTCCCACTATACCCCAACGAACGTCCAAGAAGCCTATAACCCACAACCCAGGCACGGTGGCGGGACTTGCCGCAGGCAGCTGGATCCGCCGCCCCCTGCTTGCAGGGGTGCACGGCGTGCTGGATGTTTCAGGTTTTGGTTTTGGTTCTTTTTCCAAAAGAACTCCCCAGTGGGCTCCGGCAGAACCCGCCGGCCACCCGGAAGGTGCTCAACGACCGGAAAAAATCCTCCAAAAAACGGCCGTTTCGCTCGGGACATCCTCAAAAAATCGCGAAGATGGCCCAAGATGGCCTCCAAGTCCGCCCGAGATGGTCCAAGACGGCCTCCAAAACGGCCCAAGAGAGTCCAAGACGGCCCAAGACGGCCCAAGAGGCCCCCCAGAGGCCTCCCAGACGGCCCAAGAGGCCTCCAAGAGGTCCTCCAGGAGAGTCCGAAGAGGCCAAAATCATTGATTTTTCCTTGGTTTTTGAAGGATTCTGGCATTTGCGCCTTTTCGGCTCTCCGACGGCTCGAGACGGCCCAAGAAGCCCCCAAGATCGCCCAAGAGGCCCCCAAGAGAGCCCCATGATGGCCCAAGTGGCCTCCAAGATGGCCCCTAGAGGGCCCCAAGAGGGCCCAAGAGGCCTCCAACACGCCCAAGATGGCCTCCCAGACGCCCAAGATGGCCTCCAAGACGGCCCTGGAGCATTCCAAGCGGGCCCCAAGTCGGCCCATAGAGGCCCCCCAAACGGCTTCCGACGGCTTCAGACGTGCCAGGAACCCACCAAGATGGCCGAAGTTGGCTCGAAGCTGGCCCGAGACGGCCCAAAAAGCCCCAAAGATCGCCCAAAGCTTGCCCAAGAGGCCTCCAAGACGGCCAAGATGACCTTCAAGATGCCCACGTGTTCCCCGAAGGCTTTCCAAACCGATTCGGGGAACACGTGGTCCGATAGCTTGGCAGGTCTGGCCTCAACGTTCGGCCACATAGGCGCTTCCAAAAAGGCAGGGGGCGGCGGTGATTCGCCGTAGGCGTCTTCGATACGCTACGAGGTGCCGCGGCTCTACTGTGGAATCGCTCGAAGCTGTGAGGTCCACCAGGACCTCTCCGAAAGGACCGCGCGGAAGGAGACCCTGCCATTCAGACGAGGGCCTCTTGGGAGCAGCGCTGCCCAGGACGCTCTGCGCACCTCGCGACAAGGTTCGCGCCCCACAAGGCCCGCTATAAGATCTATAAAATCAGACCTGCAGGTGCCGGCGATCGGCACTTCAAGCGGGCTGCGCGAGCCATTAACGAACACAGCACTGTTTGAGCTCGACGCCTTCCCTGCCACAGCCAATAAGCGAGACCCTGGCCGGCGGACACCTGGCAGGCGGAGACCTAGGAAAGCTCTGGCATCCCCTACCCCAATCGTCATCAAGCTTGGTTCAGGCGCTTGGGAAGGCGTAACCACGGCCTCACGTCCTAACGCGTGAGGCGCCGAACCTCTGTCATACCGTAGCCTCGAGTCGTACTGCAAAAAAACAATTGTGGTGCTGCGGCTGCAACATGGAGTGTCGCTCGAGGCCGTGAGATCCAGCAGGACCTGAGAGAAGCAGAGCGCGGGTCGGGCGATCCCGGACAGGGTGGGCACCTGGAGTGCCCGCTGCAAGATCAGACCTCGAGTGTGCACTTTAGGCGAGCGACGTGAGCTATGATCGAACTCGACGGTCGTGTAGCTCTGTAGCATTTCCTGTGTGCACTGTTGCTGTTTAAAATCTGCACAGGCAGGACGAAGAAGGGTATCGAGGCTGCTGCTGGCGATGACGGTGACGCCCGGACAAGGGCCCTCCTGAAGGCGTCGCATCACTCACGGGCTGCTGCGAGATACAACAGCCCACCTCCGCCAAACCAAACAATGGCCATGCGAGAACTCGCGAAGCGATTCCGCAACTATCTAACAACAAAAGCTTGCGTGCCGTAGGGGCACAAGCGGTCGCAAGGCATTTGCCCTGATCGAATGCATAATGGAGCACGCATTTGCATGCTGAAGATACAAATACGGAGCAGGATGTATGACTAACTGCGCAACTTAGATGTGCTACAAAAGGCGACTTCATGTCGCACGGACTGAAGCAAACTTGTGATGTCCTCCTCTCCCCCCTCCTCCTTCGACAAGATGGCCCCTGGGACGTAATGCGCAGACTCATCCCACTACGGGGCAAGGCTGTGCATGGTACGTGCAAGGCCGACAGATGAAGAACAATTCCGAAGGCACAGTAAACCTTCCGGCACACGTGCATCACCACACTGTGCAGCTCGGACCCGTCAGTGCGGCCACCATTCGCGGCCTTCTCCCGCCCCTCGGCGTCACCCGATCCATCCCCTCGCCACCTCGGTGAGCCTCTACCGCCGGCAGCCTCTTGTGGCCTCTTGTGGCCTCGAGGCCCTAGAGGCCACAAGAATCTAGAGTCTTCTTATGGCTTGTGGCTTCTTGTGGCTTCTTGTGGCCCTAGAGTCTAGGTTGGGCGCCCGAGTTATCCGGGGTAACTCGGGTCCGGGGTAACTCGGGTTTGGATTCCCGAAAAAGGAACCCGAGTTAGCCCTGACCCGAGTTACCCCTGATGATTCGGGGCTCTGACTAGGGGCCCCTCGGGACGTCTCTTGGGGGCATTTTGGGGCTCTTTTGGCAAGCGTGCGCAAGCCCCGGAAGCGTTCCAGGGGCAAGAATGCGATGGCGCCCCTCGGCGTCGCCCGATCCACCCCCCGGCGCCGCCTCGGCGAGCCTGCCGCCAGCCCACTGCTTTGAAGCTGTCTGCTTGGCCCTTCGATGCGGTGTTGGACTTTGGTGCTGGCCGCTCAGTGAAGACGTGACCCCGCTCGCCGGCTTTCGCTTGCCAGCGCAGCCCGCTCCCTCTCCTGTTCCCCCTCCTCCTCCCATTCCTCCTCCTCCTCCTCCTCCTCCTCCTCCTCCTCCTCCTCCTCCTCCCTCCCTCCTCCTCCTCCTCCTCCTCCTCCATCTCTCCTCCTCCTCCCTCCTCCTCCTCCTCCTCCTCCTCCTCCTCCTCCTCGGCAAGTCCGTGGGTGCGCCAGGGCCTGGCCCCTGGAGAACGCACTCGTCACCCCGCGCGGCCTGCGCAGCAGGGCCGACGGGGACACGGGCGGCGCCGTGGGGAAAAGGCCCAACGCCCCGTGGGCTCAGCGCAGCCACCTGAGAAGAGCGTGGAGCACCCTCCCTGCCGTAGGGCTGGGCCCTGGAATCGTTCGAAACTGTGAGGTCCACCAGGACCTCTCCGAAAGGACCGCGCGGAAGGAGACCCTGCCATCCAGACCAGGGCCTCTTGGGAGCAGCGCTGCCCAGGACGCTCTGCGCACCTCGCGACAAGGCTCGCGCCCCACAAGGCCCGCTACAAGACCAGACCTGCAGGTGCCGGCGATCGTGCACTTCAGGCGGGCTGCGCGAGCCATTCTTGACTACCTACCAGACCACCCCAACCCAACCCGAAGACCCAAATTTCGGGTTGGGGGGGTAAGGGTTCCACATGTGTTTTTTCGATGTTCCCCGACCCCCCCCCCACTGGAAATCGAGGGTAAATCTGAGCCTTCGGGTTGGGATGGGGTGGTTTTGTGGGTGGTGAACTATCGAACACAACACTGTTTGAGCTCGACGCCCTCCCTGCCGCAGCCAGCGCGCCGGCGGGAAGCGAGGCCCTGGCCGGCGGAGGAGTGGCTGGCGGAGGACGTCTCGCGCGGGAGCCTCGCTGTCGACATGAAGCGTCTCAGACAAAGCTCCTTCAGTACTCCAGATTTCGTCATAAAAGGGAGGGGGTCACAACCCTCCCAGGCGAGAAGTTTTAGACCCCCCAGACCATCCATGAAAGGGCGGCCCTTTGCCCAGACCCCCCCGAACCCTCCAAGACAGCTCAAATCAGACCCACCCCCCAAATGTGACCCCCCCACACTGCATTTTGGAATCCGGAGTATCCAATGTGGGGGGAGGAGGGGCCATCATTTTCGTGTAACAGGTGTTGGACATTACTCCTGCAGCCAGTCCTTTTCCCTCCTCCTCCTCCTCCTCCTCCTCCTCCTCCTCCTCCTCCTCCTCCTCCGCCCAGATGTTCCAGGAGAGGCCTGCGGGGATACATGGGCGACTGCTCTCCACGGGCACTTGGAGGCTACAGGAGGGACCTCTTGGAAATTGACCACGGGTTCTCTAGCAGCTCTGCTGGCTGTGGGGGCTCTTGGGGGTCTCGTGGAGCTCCTTTAGGGCCTCTTCAGGGCTCTTGAGTGCCTCTCGGGGGCCTCTTGGGCGTTCTTTCGGGAGCCTCCGGGGACCTACGGGGCGGGTCCAGGGGGCTCTTCGGGGCCTATATTCGGAGCGTCTTTGGATCCTCGGGGGGTGCATCTTCGGGCGTCATGGCAGCCTCTTGTGGCCTCTTGGGGCTCCTCGGGACGCCTCTTGGGGGCATTTTGGGACTCTTTTGGGAAGCATGCGCAAACCCCGGAAGCGTTCCAGGGCAAAAATGCGATACGGCCAAAGTCATAAATGATCCTTGAGTTTCTCCATGATTTTGGCCTCTCGAGGGCTTACCCAGCAGTCTTGGAGCATTCTTGGACCGTCTTTGGGGCGTCCTGGGCCGTCTTCAGGGCCTCTGGGGGCTCTCTTGGAGCCCCTGGAGGCAGCAGATGTCATCGAAGTGGGCGGGACCCCCCAGGGGGAGAGCGCGGTACCGAATGAAAAATACATGATTTGAGTTAGGTCGGGCATGTCCTCGTACAGGCGGATTCTGAAAGAAAAATAAAACATAGTTAACCATACTTCAGAATAGACACACACATGTCCGCAGACTATTTTAAAAACTATGTTAGAATATGCCTCCTGTAGAGGGACATGCCCGACCTAAACCTGATGGAACATGCAAGATTTGGGGCTCCCAGGGCGGTCTTGGATGGCCTCGTGGAGGGGCGCCTGGGACACAGTTTTGGCCGCTGGAGGCGCCGAGCGAGCCGCCCGAAACGTCTGGAGGCCGTCCTGGGACGGCTCGAGGCCGTGGATCGTCTCCTCCTCCTCCTCCTCCCTCCTCCTCCTCCTCCTCCTCCCTCCTCCTCTTCCTCCGGGAGGGGGAGAAGGAGGAGCCCTCTCCGCCTGCCTCTTACACTCCTCTCCCTCTCTTCCCTTTCTTGTCTGTAGCCACGTCGGCACCGCCCGCCAGCCGAGGCGCCTCTTTCCCACGTCTCCTCTTGCCCTGCTGTCTGTAGCCAGTTTGGCCCAATCACAGGCTGACGTTCGTGCGGCTGCGATCTGCAGCGCCCAAAGCTCACAGCTGTGCGGCTGATGCATCGGCCCTCAAAAACCCTCCTTCAGAACGGGTGAGTGTAAACGGGCGCATCTCAACGGGTGAATTTTAACGGGTGAAACAAGGCATAGTCCCCTAAAGATGCCCCTGGCGCCAACCGACAGGGCCAGATGGTCTCTAGTCGGAGGAGAGCCGAGTGAGACAAACGCGGCCCTCCCTCGCTCAAATTCCGCCCACAGAGATTTTCTGTTGGCTCTTGCGAATCGACGATCGTCGATGCTGAATCGACGCTAAATCGACGCTGTTCGACGCTAATCGAAGCTGACCGACGCTACATCGGCGCTATATCTTTGACTCCCACGCGTTAATCGACGCCAGTCGACGCCAAAGACGGACTGACGAGGATAAACCAACCTCCCATGATTTGCTACCGAAGGAGAGGCTGGGGGGGGGGCCGAGGTGTCCCCTGGCGCCAAGTGCCCCCAATTTGCCAACCGCGAGGCGCTCTCCGCGAGCGCCATGGCGCGCTCTGCGCCCAGAACGCCCAGCGAGCGCCCGCGTGGCTGGTGCGCCCCCCTTGGCGACCCGGGACAAAAAGAAAGAACACCTCACCCGGCGAGCGCGCTGCGTGTGTTCGGGCGCGTGGGAACGCGGACGAACTGCCCGAACGAGCAGCGCACCTTGGCCGTCCCCGGACAGGTCGACGAGCTCTCGAGCATCGCTCTGGACTCCGAGGTCGCGCGCGGGAGCGGGAGCTGCCGACCACAGTGGAACGCAGCGGGCCTGCAGTGATCTGGCGCGTCCTGCTTGCGCATGATGTTGCGATGGTGCGCAACGTTCGCCCAGAATCCCTGCACTCCTCCCCAGCTCACTGCACACACATTGCGGCATCCAGGTGCTGGCCACGATGCGAAACCGTCGAAGACCTTCCAAAAGCGCACTGCGTGCTCATGATTGCTCGCAGATGCGAAGTGTTTCGGGAGATACGCGAAATCGAACTGCTCCTCAACACACACCTAGTGAAAGCAAACCACCCAAACTCTGGTGTGGTGCTAGAGAAAGGTCCACCTCGATGACCTTGCTTGAAACTCGAACTGCTCCTGAAAACCCTTGCTGTTAACCAAATCGACCAGCTCGGCACAGGAAAAAATGGTGGGCAGATTGCGCATCGTTACAGTAGTCCGTTGGTCGGCGCTCGAGTCCATTTGATCATACACCATTCTCGGGACAAAGGCGGCCGCCTTCACGTTCAACGACGTGCGCATAGTGCCCGACTCCTGAGCAAAAAGCGCTTCATCCAGCTTCAAAACCTGCACCTGCATGGGACACATCGCTCCGCTGGAAGGCTTCGCAGCGTCCCCGGCATCCTCGCCGTCCCGCATTTCCTTGCTGACCGATACACTGGAAGGCAAGCACGGCGAGTCGATGCAATCGCCTTGCGTAGGTACATCACCTGGCGCGCTTGCCCTTGTCATGAAGGACGCGTCTCGAGACATCGAGGCGTTCGAAGAGGCACAAACAACGTTGTTTGGAATCGGCTGAAAGGAGGTATCAAGGCGTGTGTCATGCTGCAGATAGGGAATATGCATCACAATGCATACGATCTGGACATCGGGCCCAGCTGGCTTGAGCTACAATGGCGACGGAGGCGTTGTGTGCGTGTGCGTGCGCGTGTGCGTGCGCGTGTGCGTGCGCGTGTGCATGTGCGTGTGTGCGTGTGTGCGTGTGTGCGTGTGTGCGTGTGTGCGTGTGCGTGTGTGTGTGTGTGTGTGTGTGTGCGTGTGTGCGTGTGTGCGTGTGCGTGTGCGTGTGTGTGCGTGTGTGTGTGTGTGTGTGCGTGTGCGTGTGCGTGTGCGTGTGCGTGTGCGTGCGTGTGTGTGTGCGTGCGTGTGTGTGTGTGTGTGTGTGCGTGCGTGTGCGTGCGTGTGCGTGCGTGTGCGTGCGTGTGCGTGCGTGTGTGTGCGTGCGTGCGTGCGTGTGCGTGTGCGTGTGTGTGCGTGCGTGTGCGTGCGTGTGTGCGTGTGCGTGTGCGTGTGTGCGTGCGTGTGCGTGCGTGTGCGTGCGTGTGCGTGCGTGTGCGTGCGCGTGTGCGCGTGTGCGCGTGTGCGCGTGTGTGTGACCGTGCGCACGTGCGCGCGTGCGTGCGTGTGCGCGTGTGCGCGTGCGTGTGTGCGTGTGTGCGTGTGTGCGTGTGTGCGTGTGTGCGTGTGTGCGTGTGTGCGTGTGTGCGTGTGTGCATGTGTGCGTGTGTGCGTGTGTGCGTCTGTGCGTCTGTCGTGTGTGCGTGTGTGCGTGTGAGCGTGAGTGCGTGTGCGTGTGTGTGTGTGTGCGTGTGTGTTTTGGTGTGTGCGTGTGCGTGCGTGCGTGTGCGTGTGTGTGTGTGTGTGTGTGTGCGTGTGTGTGTGTGCGTGCGTTGCCGCTGGGCCCCCTCTGGATTGTAAAAATGGTTGTGCGTGTGCGCGTGTGTGCGTGTGTGCGTGTGTGCGTGTGCGTGTGTGCGTGTGTGCGTGTGTGTGTGTGTGCGCGCGCGCGCGTGCGCGTGTGTCTGTGTTTGTGCGTGTGTGGGTGAAGGGGGGGTGGGCTCTTGGGGGGGCAGCATGCGGCCTCTTGGACCATCTTGGCGCATCTGGGGGTCCGTTGGGGTCTGTCTTGAGCCGTCCTGGTGCCCCCTTGGGGATCTCCTTCGCCGTGCTGCACAGCGGACCGAAAGGCGTGTGTGGGAACAAAGCCCAGGAACACAGTTGGGCAAGCGCCCCAAAACTGGCCTCGGGATCCCCAAGAGGTCCACCGTAGACTGCCCCCAAGAAGGCCCCCCCCCCCCCAATGTCTCTAAGAGGCTTCTTACAAGCCTGCAGGAGTTAAGAGGACTCCCAGAAGCGCCCAATAGGCTCCCAACACACACACACACACACACACACACACACACACACACACACACACACACACACACACACACACACACACACACACGCGCAGTGACTGATGTCGGATGGTTCCGTTTGGGCCATCGGCCCGATGGGCCGAAGGCCACTGGATCAGCCGCCCCCTGTTGGCTTGGCACAGGGGTGCCTGGAGTGCTAAATCCTATATTTCTTGGTCCTGGTTCTTTTCCCTACAGAACTCTCCCCTGGGGCTTCGGCCCGTCCCGCCAGGGTGCCCCCCTCGTCTGCTTTTTCACTTAAGATGGCTCAAGATGGCCTCCAAGATGGTCAAGATGGCCAAAGATGGTCTCTCAGATGCCTCCAAGACGGCCAAGACGGCCTCAAGATGGTCTCCTAGACTGCCCAAGAGTGTCCAAAATGTCTCCAAGTCGGCCCAAGAAGCCTCCAAGAGGCCTCCAAGACGGTCCAAGAGGCCTCCGAGAGGACCTCCATGAAAGCCCGCAGAGGCCAAAATCATTGATGTTCCGTCAGTGTTTGACAGATTTCGGCATCTGTTTTTTTTTCTGCCTTCCGACGGCCCGAGACGGCCCAAGAGCCCCCAAAGATCACCAAATGGCCCCAGACCGGCCCAAAGACGGCCCAAGAGGCCTCCAAGACGCCCAAGATGGCCTCCAAGACGGCCCTCCCTGGAGCACTCCAAGAGGGCCCCCAGTCGGCCCAGAGAGGCCCCAATACAGCTTCCAACGGCGTCAGACGGGCCAGGAGCCCGCCAAGAAAGCCCAAGATGGCTCTAAGATGGCCCGAGACGGCCCGAGAGGCCCCCAAGAGGTCAATCATTGAATGTCCTGAGGTGTTTGAAGGATTTGGGCATTTGCTTTTTTTCGACTTTCCGACGGCCCGAGACGGCCCAAGAGCTCCGAAAGATCGCCCGAAAGGCCTCCAGGATGGCCCCATAACAATCCAAGAGGCCCACAAGACGGCCCCAAGAGGGCCCCAAGAGTCCTCCCAGACGCCCAAGGAGGCCTCCAAGGCGGCCCTGGAGCACCCCAAGAGGGCCACAAGTCGTCCCAGAGAGGCCCCCAAGACGGCTTCCGACGGCGGCAGACGGGCCAGGACTGCCCTGAGACGGCCGAAGAGGCCCCCAAGATGCCTCCATGAGGCTCCTAGGAAGCTCCCAGGAGGCCCCAAGAGTGCCCCCAGAGGCTCCCAAGATGCCCCCTCCTCCTCCTACACCTCCTCCTCCTCCTCCTCCTGATCTTCCCCGCCATCCTCCCCCAAGTGTTCCCCGAAGGGTTTCCACAACGGTTGGGGGAACACATGGTCCGATAGCTTGGCAGAGCTCTTGCCACAACGCCCGGCCACATGGGCGATTTCAAAAGGCAGGGGGCAGCGGTGAATCGCCGCAGGCGTCCTCGATCTGCTGCCCCCCTGCAGATTTATCACAGGGGTGCCTTGCGTGCGGAACGTCCGAAAAGTTTTCGGTTCTTTTTGCAGACCCCCCCTGGGGCTTCGGCCCAGCCCGCCGCGCTGGCCACCCGAAGATCCGGTTGCCAGGGTGCTTCCTGCTCCAGATAACTCCATGATGGTCAAAGATGGCCTCCAAGACGGCCAAGATAGCCCTCAAGTTCGCCCAAGATAGCCATGGCCTCCGGGACAGCCCAAGAGTGTCCGAGATGCCTCCAAATCCGCCCAAGAAGCCTCCAAGAAGGCCCAAGACGGTCCCGGAGACACCTAAGAGGCCTCCAAGACGGCCCAAGAGGCCCCTACGAGCTCCTTTAGGAAGGCCCGCCGAAGCCAAAATCATTGTGGTTCCATAGGTTTTTGAAGGTTGTGACATTTGCGTATTTTCGGCCTTCCGACGGCTCAAGACGGTCCAAGAGGCCCCCGAGATCCGAGATCGCCCCGAGGTGGCCGCAAAGGCCTCCAAGATGACTCCAGGACGGCCCAAGAGGCCTCCAAGACGGCCCCAAGAGGGCCCAAAAGGCCTTCAAGACGCCCAAGATGGCCTCCGAGACGGGCCTGAAGCGCCACACGAGGGCCCGGAATTGGTTCAGAGAGGCATTCACGACGGCTTCCGACGCCGTCAAACGGGCCAGGAACTTCTTAAGACGGCTAAAGCGGCCCCAAACCAGCCCCCAAATGCTCCCAAGAGGCCCAGTGAGGCCACTAAGAAGCCTCCACGGCCCCAGGGAAGCTCCCAGCAGACCCCAAGAGTGCCCCAAGACGCTTCCATGAGGCGCCCTCCTACTTTTTTGTTTCCTTCTCCTCCTCCTCCTCCTCCTCCTCATCTTCCTCCTCCTCCTCCTACTCCCTCTTACGTCTTCTCTTCATCCTCCTCTCCCTTACGTGTTGCCCGAAAGGCTTCAACGACAACTGGGGGAACACATAGTGCGATAGCTCTAGCCCAACTTTCGGCCACATAGGCGCTTCCAAAAAGGTAGGGGGCGGCGGTGATTCGCCGTAGGCGTCTTCGATACTCCAAAGAAGCCTTCAAGCAATCCCTGGCAGGGACAGCTTGCATGCGCGCTGCGTTACGACTACCGATGCTGCGTGTCACTTCGCCAGACTTCCAGGGATCGGCGGGTACTGCGCCGCCGGCGTCCTCGATATTGGGCACATGTAGAGGAAAGAGGAGGGGATAATGGAGAAGGATTGAGAAGAGAGGATAACTCGTGCGAGCGCAAATGAAAAGAACGCAACCACGCAACCACGACCAAACAACCGATCGAACGCAACCAAGTGCAAAGCAACCAAACCGACCGAACTGTGGACACCCTTGGCGACGGTCCTCAGGGCCCCATAAACAGGGACAGTTGCACCAGCCGTCTTGCACGCCTGCAAGAAAAATGGAGACACGTGCCGAAACATTGTGCACCATTTGTTTTCCCCTGCTACATTTGGCAAGGACGACGAAAACAAGGAACACTGCAAACCCAAGACTCATCGACTGTGTTGGCATGCAACCTCCTTCCAAACTGCCACAAACTGCTTTTTGATGGGCCTCTACAAAAGGCTTCTCCCCACTGCAAGAAAAAACCGTTTGGGGACAACCGTGCGAAAATCCGGAAGCGTGCCAAAACACCATTCTCAGGACTTCAACGCCGCGACTCAACCTGCTGACTGCAGCGTGTAAACGACCCTAAATCGTATCAAAGCAACTCTTGGGACTTCAACACCGCGAATCAACGTGACGGCTGCGCCTTGACAATTCTGAATACTTCCGGAACTCAAGTTCTGGTACGTTGGCCGTGAAACGCAATGGTACTCTTGCGCATGTCTGATAAGAATGCGCGCAGCGCTAAAGCGTGAACCACATTTTGAGAAGGAGCCGCCTTCAATCCGTGCAGCTCTTGCAACTTGTCGAATCGAATGTGCCCAGCGCTTAAGCGAGAACCGCATTTTTGAAAACCACCCATCCTCGATCCGTGGAACCGTTGCGACCGTTTAAGGTTAATGTGCGCGGCGCTACGGCGGGAATCACATTTTGGAAGCGACCTGCCCTCCATCTGCGAAAGCGATGCCAGTTGTTAAATGTTCCAAGCTCAAAGAATCATGAGGAAACCTCGAGCGAAAACACGCGGCCCGCTCTTCCGACTGACCGCGGGGTGCGACAAGGGGGATTTACTCAAAAGGGAAAGGAGTGGAGGAGGACGGAAGAAGACGGACGAGAAGGGATGAGGAGGAAGGGGAACGGCAAGGGGAAGAAGGGGCTGGGGGAGGGAAGGAGGAGGGATTGGAATGGGAGAAGGGG